TTAGCTAAAGGACACTTGTTTAAGTTTTAACAACTTTTCTGTGTGACGGAACTCCATCCTGAGACTTCTTTGAGTTTTAGCAAATATATTGCATGTAAGATTCTATTTTGAAATAGGGCCAAAAAGATTTCCTTGACTTTCAACAATTTTGTTGTAGGCGGAAGTTTTGTTCTGAAACTTAGATAAAGAAAGCTTGTTTGAGTGTTAACAACTTTTTTGTATGAGGAAACTCTGTTCTGAGACTTGGCCAATGGGGGACTTATTTGAGTTTTAACAACTTCTTTGTATGTGGAAATGTTGTCCTAAAACATGGCAAGAAAAAAACGTTTGTTTCAACCACTTCTTTATATCTTCCTGAAACTTAGCTAGGGAACACTTGTTTAAGTTTTAACAACTTTTCTGCGTGAGGGAACTCTGTCCTGAGACTTGGTCAACGAGAACTTCTTTGAGTTTTAGCAAATATACTGCATGTATGATTCCATTTTGAAATATGGCCAAAAAGATTTCCTTGACTTTCAACAATTTTGTTGTAGGCGGAAGTTTTGTTCTGAAACTTAGATAAAGGAAGCTTGTTTGAGTGTTAACAACTTTTTGTATGAGGAAACTCTGTTCTGAGACTTGGCCAAGGGGGACTTATTTGAGTTTTACCAACTTCTTTGTATGTGGAAATGTTGTCCTAAAACATGGCCAGAAAAAAACGCTTGTTTTAACCACTTCTTTGTATCTTCCTGAAACTTAGCTAGGGAACACTTGTCTAAGTTTTAACAACTTTTCTGTGTGAGGGAGCTCCATCCTGAGACTTCTTTGAGCTTTAGCAAATATATTGCATTTAAGAGTCTATTTTGAAATATGGCCAAAAAATTTCCCTTGACTTTCAACAATTTTGTTGTAGGCGGAAGTTTTGTTCTGAAACTTAGATAAAGAAAGCTTGTTTGAGTGTTAACAACTTTTTTGTATGAGGAAACTCTGTTCTGAGACTTGGCCAATGGGGGACTTATTTGAGTTTTACCAACTTCTTTGTATGTGGTAATGTTGTCCTAAAACATGGCCAGAAAAAAAACGGTTGTTTTAACCACTTCTTTGTATCTTCCTGAAACTTAGCTAGGGAACACTTGTCTAAATTTTAACAACTTTTCTGTGTGAGGGAGCTCCATCCTGGGACTTCTTTGAGTTTTGCCAAATATATTGCATGTAAGATTCTATTTTGAAATATGGCAAAAAGATTTCCTTACTTTCAACATTTTGTTGTAGGCGGAAGTTTTGTTCTGAAACTTAGATAAAGGAACTTGTTTAAGTTTTAACAACTTTTCTGTGTGAGGGAACTCCATCCTGAGACTTCTTTGAGTTTTAGCAAATATATTGCATGTAAGATTCTATTTTGAAATAGGGCCAAAAAGATTTCCTTGACTTTCAACAATTTTGTTGTAGGCGGAAGTTTTGTTCTGAAACTTAGATAAAGAAAGCTTGTTTGAGTGTTAACAACTTTTTTGTATGAGGAAACTCTGTTCTGAGACTTGGCCAATGGGGGACTTATTTGAGTTTTAACAACTTCTTTGTATGTGGAAATGTTGTCCTAAAACATGGCAAGAAAAAAACGTTTGTTTCAACCACTTCTTTATATCTTCCTGAAACTTAGCTAGGGAACACTTGTTTAAGTTTTAACAACTTTTCTGCGTGAGGGAACTCTGTCCTGAGACTTGGTCAACGAGAACTTCTTTGAGTTTTAGCAAATATACTGCATGTATGATTCCATTTTGAAATATGGCCAAAAAGATTTCCTTGACTTTCAACAATTTTGTTGTAGGCGGAAGTTTTGTTCTGAAACTTAGATAAAGGAAGCTTGTTTGAGTGTTAACAACTTTTTGTATGAGGAAACTCTGTTCTGAGACTTGGCCAAGGGGGACTTATTTGAGTTTTACCAACTTCTTTGTATGTGGAAATGTTGTCCTAAAACATGGCCAGAAAAAAACGCTTGTTTAACCACTTCTTTGTATCTTCCTGAAACTTAGCTAGGGAACACTTGTCTAAGTTTTAACAACTTTTCTGTGTGAGGGAGCTCCATCCTGAGACTTCTTTGAGCTTTAGCAAATATATTGCATTTAAGAGTCTATTTTGAAATATGGCCAAAAAGATTTCCCTGACTTTCAACAATTTTGTTGTAAGCGGAAGTTTTGTTCTGAAACTTAGGATAAAGAAAGCTTGTTTTAGTGTTAACAACTTTTTTGTATGAGGAAACTCTGTTCTAGACTTGGCCAATGGGGGACTTATTTGAGTTTTACCAACTTCTTTGTATGTGGTAATGTTGTCCTAAAACATGGCCAGAAAAAAACGGTTGTTTTAACCACTTCTTTGTATCTTCCTGAAACTTAGCTAGGGAACACTTGTCTAAATTTTAACAACTTTTCTGTGTGAGGGAGCTCCATCCTGGGACTTCTTTGAGCTTTTGCAAATATATTGCATGTAAGATTCTATTTTGAAATATGGCCAAAAAGATTTCCTTGACTTTCAACAATTTTGTTGTAGGCGGAAGTTTTGTTCTGAAACTTAGATAAAGGAAGCTTGTTTGAGTGTTAACAACTTTTTTGTATGAGAAAACTCTGTTCTGAGACTTGGCCAATGGGGGACTTATTTGAGTTTTACCAACTTCTTTGTATGTGGAAATGTTGTCCTAAAACATGGCAGAAAAAAACGTTGTTTCAACCATTTCTTTATATCTTCCTGAAACTTAGCTAGAACACTTGTTTAAGTTTTAACAACTTTTCTGCGTGAGGGAACTCTGTCCTGAGACTTGGTCAACGAGAACTTCTTTGAGTTTTAGCAAATATACTGCATGTAAGATTCCATTTTGAAATATGGCCAAAAAGATTTCCTTGACTTTCAACAATTTTGTTGTAGGCGGAAGTTTTGTTCTGAAACTTAGATAAAGGAAGCTTGTTTGAGTGTTAACAACTTTTGTATGAGGAAACTCTGTTCTGAGACTTGGCCAATGGGGGACTTATTTGAGTTTTACCAACTTCTTTGTATGTGGTAATGTTGTCCTAAAACATGGCCAGAAAAAAAACGGTTGTTTTAACCACTTCTTTGTATCTTCCTGAAACTTAGCTAGGGAACACTTGTCTAAGTTTTAACAACTTTTCTGTGTGAGGGAGCTCCATCCTGAGACTTCTTTGAGCTTTAGCAAATATATTGCATGTAAGATTCTATTTTGAAATATGGCCAAAAAGATTTCCTTGACTTTCAACAATTTTGTTGTAGGCGGAAGTTTTGTTCTGAAACTTAGATAAAGAAAGCTTGTTTGAGTGTTAACAACTTTTTTGTATGAGGAAACTCTGTTCTGAGACTTGGCCAATGGGGGACTTATTTGAGTTTTAACAACTTCTTTGTATGTGGAAATGTTGTCCTAAAACATGGCAAGAAAAAAACGTTTGTTTCAACCACTTCTTTATATCTTCCTGAAACTTAGCTAGGGAACACTTGTTTAAGTTTTAACAACTTTTCTGCGTGAGGGAACTCTGTCCTGAGACTTGGTCAACGAGAACTTCTTTGAGTTTTAGCAAATATACTGCATGTATGATTCCATTTTGAAATATGGCCAAAAAGATTTCCTTGACTTTCAACAATTTTGTTGTAGGCGGAAGTTTTGTTCTGAAACTTAGATAAAGGAAGCTTGTTTGAGTGTTAACAACTTTTTTGTATGAGGAAACTCTGTTCTGAGACTTGGCCAATGGGGGACTTATTTGAGTTTTAACAACTTCTTTGTATGTGGAAATGTTGTCCTAAAACATGGCAAGAAAAAAACGTTTGTTTCAACCACTTCTTTATATCTTCCTGAAACTTAGCTAGGGAACACTTGTTTAAGTTTTAACAACTTTTCTGCGTGAGGGAACTCTGTCCTGAGACTTGGTCAACGAGAACTTCTTTGAGTTTTAGCAAATATACTGCATGTAAGATTCTATTTTGAAATATGGCAAAAAAGATTTCCTTGACTTTCAACAATTTTGTTGTAGGCGGAAGTTTTGTTCTGAAACTTAGATAAAGAAAGCTTGTTTGAGTGTTAACAACTTTTTTGTATGAGGAAACTCTGTTCTGAGACTTGGCCAATGGGGGACTTATTTGAGTTTTAACAACTTCTTTGTATGTGGAAATGTTGTCCTAAAACATGGCCAGAAAAAACGCTTGTTTCAACCACTTCTTTATATCTTCCTGAAACTTAGCTAAAGAACACTTGTTTAAGTTTTAACAACTTTTCTGTGTGAGGGAACTCCATCCTGAGACTTCTTTGAGTTT